GGAATGAAAGACAAGCAAGTTCCAAAGGCCAGGGCCTCTAAAAGCATCAGCCAATGGGTGGTTTTGAGGGCTGGGCCAGGGTTAGGTTTCTAATTGTTGTTGGGGGGTCGTGGGGAACGGGATGGGACTAGATTTTCCAGAGACAACTTGAAAAACATTGTATGGTAACTTTTCAGTCTTTTCTGAAAGAAAATGCTTGTCCCTGTTCTTTGTCAGCACAACACTTCTTAAGGTTGATAAACTGGTGCTTTAAAATATCACAGCTCCTGGGAGGGGCCATTTTATAGCAAAATAACTTCCCCCTCATGTTCTGTGATACTTTAGTTTGGCAGTATTGTTTACAAGGTTTGAAATCAAAAGCAGCATCGGTTCCTTCAGGGAAAAATGATCCCAATCTACCAAAGTAAAAGCCTAACAGACTCTTAATTGTGCCTTTTCCCACAAGTGGGTTGCCTTTATTGAAGTTGTGGGTAATTTTGACAGGACCCTTCTCTCTCGCAGGACTAGCAACTGGAAATGACCCTTCTCCCAGGGTAAAACCCATTTTGATCTGATTTTAAAACAGACTTCAAGCATCTTTGAGAATAAACGTACTTGCATACCTAGTGCCTTCCCTCTCAGCAGGGAGACTCCAGCTGTCTCACAGACATGTCTCACCTGCTACAGGTGTAATCCTAATTTTTCATTATTGTCATCCATGCTAAAGGTTTTATAAATTCTACTGAGCTACCCATGTGATATGAAAAGCTAAGTAACTGTTAACCAGGGGGCTAAACTCTTTTCATTTCCCATCAAGCCTAATTCCATACATTTTACAATATCAGGGTTTTTATCTGCTGGCTGTTGAATGTTTGTTAGGATACCCAGAATGGCAGCCTCCACTTTCGGAAGCCTTGTTTTCCTACTCTGACTAGAGGGACAGGACCATTTCCTTCAGGAATCCTTATTCTCTAGGTCAGCTGCTCTACTCCCAGGAGACTGAAACAACATCATTGCAGGATACGTGCAGTTTTTTTCTCAACTCCATCAGGATTTTCAAATCAAGCCCAACCTTTTTCTGCTCTTGTCTGCTGTTCTCTTTCCCTTCCCCCCAAATCTTACAGCCCATGATTTGGCAACCCCATACAGGACGCTCCTGATCCACCAGTCACATGAAAATGAAGGCAAGAAAAGAAAGGACCAGATGGCATCAAAAGAGATGCCTTTCTAGGTCGTTGGTGGTTAAGCTTGCAATCTGGTTACCAACAGGGAGATTATGGGGGAAAGGGTGGAGAGCAGCCCATTGTAAGGAAGAGGAATTTTACTACACAGTTCTTGTTTCAAGAGTCTGCTGGATAGAAACAAATTCCATGTCTGGGTGAATGATTTTTCTAATTTAACTCTTTACGGTTTAGAGTCATAGGAGGTGCATTGCTCTTAGAAGGATACATTTACCTAAGTGGTGCATAAGTACATGTCAAAAAACTGGGCAGCATTTGCATGGTGACACTGAAAAGTGTCTCTTCCCTTGGTCAGCTGCTGTCCTTCAGCTGCTACTGACCCTTTGTTATTGTACTCTCCAAATGCCAGATCCACTAATAAATACAAAACTGGAGGAATTGACATTAGTTCCCACAGAGTTACCTCCCCTCAGGGAAGCAGAGGGCATCATTTACCACTCACCCTTAACTTCTACATATCATTTTGAAAGACTATTTACAGAACATGTAGAATGGCCTTTGTGGAGGCATGATATCTTAGGGTATGTTGTTTGTATCTTGGAGCGGATTTATAATTACTTGACTAAAGTGGTTACTAAAAAATATTTTGGAGGGCATTCTGCCTTGTGTGTTGATTTGGATATTATTTAAATGTTGACTTCTTTGGCCTCAGAAGCTCCTGATTTGACATTGCTATTCCTGCCTTCCAGATTGCTGAATTTAGCTGATACTTCCTTATAGAATTGCAACTCAAGTTATTTTCTCTTGGTGAAACAAACTAAGGTTTTAAGTTTAAGCTTTGGTCTCAATTTATAAATCTAGGTCCTTTACTCTTCTTTTGGAGTGCAGTTTTGGCACTGTGGGGGTTAATGCACTGAACTGCAACATCAGTTTGAACTGCAAGGTCGGCGGTTCAAGCTCATCAGCTGCTGCTTGGAAACCCTTTACAGGGTCACTATAAGTCGGAACCAATTCAATGACACTTAACAGCAACAACACTCTTCTTTTGATTACCTGGAAAACTCACTTTTTCTTTTAGACAGATGTAGTTTTTTTAAGTCCAAAGTTAAGTCTTAACCTCTTTTGTAAATCTGTCACCTTTCATTAATCTTTTTATTTAAGATTATGATGTCCTTGATAATTGTATGGGGAAAATTAAGCAAAGTGTTTTTTATTCTGTAGTCTAGATTATAAACTGTTAGAGTTTACATATCTTTTTTATGAGTTTTCCTGCTGAAGCAAGTGTCTAGAACAGTGCTGGGCACATAGACGTTATGCAACATACATACAAACACTGTTGAATAAATTTGAAACAAGAAAGCAGAGTTATTTTAATATTTTTAGTTGAGTTCAGTCTAAGTTAACAGAATAGTGACTTGCCCTTTTCTTCCTTGACCTGAAACTATAGGTAGGAGTGATTGTGAAGTTTCTTAAACCAGAGAGTAAAAGATATAGACTGAATTTCTAGGTCTAAGTAATTTAAACAAAATTGACAAACTGTTCATGTGGCAGTGTTCTTGTTAAATTTTTAAAAAAATTGTTCTGTTGAGAATATATATAACAAACAGAACATAAACCAGTAATTTCCACATGTACGATCCTTGACATTGATTACATACTTCACATTGTGCTACTTGTTAATTTTTACTAGTTGCTTTGTTAATTTTTTTAGATGACTGAATTCAGAATCCCTTTGGTAGTTACTGATTATTAGCAAGAGAATTGCCGGTCTCTCTCAGTCTCCAGCTGTGTCATGAGTACAGTTGTGAGGTACATGCTGTAATAATCCTAATGAGTTTAAGGGCACTTTTTTTTTTTTTTTACTGTGTGTGTTTTTTCTTCCTTCAGTCTGCCCAGCAAGAGCACTATGTGATCATGTGAGATTTCTCACATAGAAGAAAAATGAAAATTTTGTTAATGGGTGTAGGAGTTTGGGTAGCACAGCAAGGAAGCAGAGTGACTGTAAAATTGTTAAATCTCATTAAAGAGAAATTGTTGATATACTTGTATTTAGGGGGGTAATTTCTTTTATTAAAACCTAGGTATGTCAGGTTTTAGCCTGGAAGCAATTATTAGAACTTAGTTATGTAACTCAATAAAGTGAGATTTGCTATGGACTTTTAACTATAGCTGGGCTCGTGGATGTTGCAAGACTCGGCATCATCCAGACCCTGGAGCTCACTCCCCTGAATCATACTGGTTTGTCAGTGACAGAATTGGCTGCTTATCAAACCTTCTACCCCTCCTTCAAATTTCACTTGACCCTATTTCTTATGTATTAAGATGTAAAAGAGTTTGGTGGGTGAGCTAGTAAACCCTTTTCACCTTCTTTGAAGAGGACATGTTTTGTTCTTGGTACAGTTTTTAAGACAGTTGCTAAAAGTTCAATTTTAGCTCTTTAAAGGAATTAGTGGTAGCACCCCATACAGGGTCGCTGTGAAGTTGGAACACACTTGGTGGCAACACTTAACAACAATGTGAGCACCTTTGAGGATTTTTTCAGACTTCATAACTGCTGAAATATGTCATGCCTTATGAAACAGTACCAAAGACGTGGACTAGTATTGTTGTAGGATGGAATTACATAACCAGAATTCATTCTGATCATGCTGTTGTCCTGTGGTGCCACACCAGTTTCTTAGTGTAAGAGGGACAGTAAATCCATGAAACTCTCTGCTAACATTTCCAGCAGAAATTTTCCTACCTTGAGAATTTCTTAGAAAATGGATGAATTAAGAGAATGCAGTGCTTTTTAGTGAAGTATTTTTTCAACTGCTGGTTTTTTTTTCCCCTTATGCAGGAAAATGAAGAGTGGTATGAAAGAGTGAGAAAAATGAAAATCAAGGGCAGGGGGCTATTTTATGGGTGGTATTTAGTCGCTATGGGTCGGTTCCGACTCCACGGCACATAACAACAACAAATTTAGTGGCTCAAGTTGACTACAGGGCCATATATCCTGTCTAACCCTATCCTAGTCCATTATCCTAGTCCAGTCACAGTAGTTCGCTGTTCCTACTGGGTTGAATTGCCATTTTTATAAGAGAGAAATGGTTGAATATTAGAAATTCCGTATGGTTCAGCCTAATATGTAATAACTTGTAACACTGTGTTGTTGTTGTTGTTGTTAAGTTCCGTCGAGTCGGTTCCGACCCATAGCGACCCTGTACAGGGTTT